GAGTCCACCTACCAGGCGTGTGTGGCGGCCTGTGAGCCTCCCGATGCTTGCCAGGATGGGATGCTGGGCCCGCTGGACCCTGAGCAGTGCCAGGTCCTGGGTGAAGGCTGTGTCTGTGCAGAGGGCACCATCCTGCACCGGCGTCACTCTGCGCTCTGCATCCCTGAGGACAAGTGCGGTAGGCCCCTCTGGGGTGCGCCTCACCTGGGGTCTCTCTGCAGCCTGAGGCCCCTCTACATCCTTCCAGTCCATGCCAGCATGGGTGGTCAATGTCCCAGGGAGGGTCTAGCCTGGGGCAGTCTGATTCTGCCCCCACCCTCGGCCCTCTGATCCCCACCCTACACACTGCAGCCTGCACCGACAGCATGGGGGTGCCGCGGGCCCTGGGTGAGACCTGGAACAGCTCTCTCAGTGGCTGCTGCCAGCAGCAGTGCCAAGCTCCAGACACCATCGTTCCAGTGGACCTGGACTGCCCGGGGCCCCTGCTAGAGAGCTGCCCCCGCTTTGGGGAGGTGGTCCTGCTCCTTCCCACCGAGGACCCCTGCTGCCTGGGGACTGTTTGCGGTGAGTCCCACCCTAAGACACCTCAAAGGCTCCCGCCCAAAGTCAGGCATGGTGGTGCACATTTGTAACCCCAGTTCACTGAGAGCAGCCTGGGCAAGTTAGCTACTTGGTGAGACCCTGTTTGCAAAAGAAAGGAAGGAAAGGAGGGAGGGAGGGAGGAAGGAAGGAGCTGGCAATGGAGTTCAGTTCAAAGACCCTTGGTTCAACGTTCAGTAACACACACACAACACACACACACACACACACACACACATGTACAAAAGGCTCCAGCCTTGCCCACCTTGATGGCTAGGACAAGGCCTGGGAAAATTAAAGCATCTTGAGGGATGAGCTAGGGAGAGTGGAGAACTGGGCTTGGGAGAGCCAGAGCCAAAGTAGGGAGGTTTAAAGGTACCAGCTCTGAAGACCAGCGATCTGGTCAGCTCTTCCTCCATTATCTGCACTCATGACCTCAGGCCAATTATTTAATATCAGCTGTGCCCGTCTTGGGTGGAAATCACCCATTAATCCTGAACAGCAGCTGGCACACTGCCCACGGCCACGAATGTTCACAGCTCTTCTGTTCCAGCTCTGGGTCCTTGGGTGATCCTCAGAGGCTCTTCCAGGAGTAGGGGTCCTGGGGGCTGGGGATGTAAGACCAGGCATCCAGGGTGGGGCAGTGGTGGAGTGCAGCGGGATGTCCCAGCCTCCAGGTGACAGGCTGTGTGGCCCTCGGGCCAGTGTGTAACCAGACTTTGTGTGAGGGCCTCGCCCCTACCTGCCCTCCCGGCCACCGACTCCTCACGCACTTCCGGGAAGACTCCTGCTGCCCCAGCTACAGCTGTGGTGAGAGGGGCGGGGTGGGCGGGAAAAGTACAAGGGGAGTGTGGACAGCCCTGTCTGGAGTCAGGGCAGAGCCAGGGCAGGGCTGGGGGTGGCCAACACTCCTCTGTCCTTTCTCCAGAATGTGACGCTGACATGTGTGAGGCACAGCAGGTCCCTAGTTGCCGCCAGGACCAGACTCTGATTGCAGGCCGTCTGGGGGACTCGTGCTGCACCTCCTACTTCTGCGGTGGGTGGATGCCCTCATCCAGCAGCCCTTCCTCCCCTCTGCTTCTGGGCAAGTGCCACTGGGAGGAGAGGCCAAGGTCCTTTTGTGAGGGCATGGTGAGGAGAAGGCTGGAATCACTGTCCAGAGAGCAGTGCGGGACACACAGGAAATGGACTTTGTCACTCCCAGACCACTGAGCATGGAAACTGGCTCAGAGTCAGATCTGGGGCTACCGAATGGGGAGACTGTCAGATTCTGGCTCCAGGACCGCTCATGTAAGACTGTGAGGTGCTGCTTTTACTTTAGCTCCGGCCACACCTGGCCTGTTGAGATCCCGGTTCCATGCCAGGAACTTGCTGCATACCAAGCCCCTGAGTGGTCTTCTGTGACAGTACTGACCCCTCTTGCCCCTCAGCCTGTGGCGACTGTCCGGATCCTATCCCTGAATGCCAGGAAGGGGAGGCGCTCACCGTGCACCGGAATACCACAGAGCTCTGCTGCCCACTGTACCAGTGTGGTGGGTCCTGGCAGGCACAGGGAGGGGTCTGGGGGACTTTTCTGTGCAGCATGAGGACTCCGGAAGTAGCCCTGCAGGGAGCTTCCGGGAGCCCACATTCCTCCTAGGACTCCAGGCCCTCAGGGGGTCTGAGGCCATTGTGACCTAAGGGGTAGCTGGGAGGTACCCACCCTTGGCCAGCGTTGCATCCTGAGGATTCACGTTTCACGTCGTCTGTGACTCACGTCACCCCCATCCTTCCGCAGTGTGTGAGAGCTTTCGCTGCCCCCAAGTGCAGTGTGGCATGGGCACAGCCCTGGTGGAGGTGTGGAGCCCAGACCGCTGCTGCCCCTACAAGTCCTGTGGTAAGTTCCAGGTCAGGGCCACCTCCCCAAGTGGATCTCCAGGGGAACTTCCTCCTCCTGCGTCACTCTGAGTATACCCACAGTTCTCTGTCCAGGAGAAAAGGAGAAAAAAAACAAGTTCCCCACTCCAAAAACATTTCCTGTTTTTAAAAGTCCTTATTGTAAACCAGGTGTGGTGGTATATGCCTGGAATCCTGGTACTAGGGAGGCTGAGGCAGGAAGATTACCATGAGTTCAAGGCCAACCTTGGCTACATAGTGAGTTCAAGGTCAGCTGGAACTATACAGTGAGATCCTGTCTCAAAAAAGCAAAAAATAAATAAACATTCTTATTGCAACCTCCTGATGGTACATCATTTACTAACACTCACCATCCAACCCTTGGCAAGGCCCGTGGGAGCACCAAAGATCAGTAACAAAAACTGGTGAGCTCCATATAAAAATGTTATTTTAAAAAGAGTCAAGAAGATTTAGTTTGCCTCTGGTTATCTAGCTTTTCTGTTTCCAGCCTCACTAGCGTGGGCAAAGGGTTGGAAGGTGAATTATTCATTGCTCTGTCCTCTGTCCTCAGAGCACAGATAAAAGCTCAGCACACAAAGCAAGTTTCAAGAAGAGTGTTTCCTGCTGCTCTGGCCTGCACTTCCAGGTCTCTGAGCTACAGCCGTGTGGCCCTTAGATTTGTTAGTGTTGTTACAGCTTAGGGAAAGCGCTGGGACAGTGGGGCGGGAGTGGCTGGAAAGTGGTCCGAAGTTCCTGTGTACTGTTGGAGAGGCCACCTAGGGGAGGAGGACTGGAGGAGGAAACCTGGGAGGCTCTGTCTGATGATGGCACTTCACCCCCCTGGGGATCACGGCCTTCAGGACACATCAGTGCCCACCTGCCCTGCCAGGGGAGCTGCGGCCTCCTGGGTATGGATGGAGGTTGGACCCACCCAGGCTGGGGCTGTGTCTGTGCCACAGGAGGGGCTGTGTGTGCAGTGTGTCCTGTGCCCCTTTGGTGAGGTGGGTCCACTCCCTCCTGTTTTTCAGAGTGTGACTGTGACACAATCCCCGTGCCCCGGTGCCATCTGGTATGGATACCCTGTTCTTCCCTATTTTCCATAGTCTGTTCCTCTTCCTGCCACCCCAGACCCAACTCCTTTAATCTAGTGAAAAGGAGCTGGGTGTGGCAGCCCACACCTGTAACCTGCGTACTGGGAGGCTGAGGCAGGAGGACTTCCGGTTTAAGTGCAGCCGGGCCAACTTAGTGACTTAGCAAGACTGCCTCAAAACAAAAAAATAAAAAAATCCTTGGAAGTAGTTTAGTGTGAAGGCCCCGAGTTCAATCTCTAGAAATTTAAAAAAAAT